TTCGTCTTGCGGCGTTTCGTGGCTGTTTTCGCGGTGGTTCTGCGGAGGATCATCTTCCATGGCCTCATGGGTGCGCTTCTGTGCCGGCATTGCTCTGGTTTGCAGCGGAACTTTAGCAAGGAACGGAACCGTTGTGAGTGAGGTAAAATTGTTAGCTGATTGTGGTGCTCTCGGAGAGAGGAGATAGAGAGGTATGAAGGTGGCGGTGGTCGGCGGTAGTGGGTGGTGGAGTGTGGCTGACCAGAGAGAGGCGGAGGGGCAGAGGCTCGTGGTCTTACCGAAAATTCTTCTATTTATAAAAAATAAAATAAAAAATAAAAAAATAAAAAAAGATGGAGACAATTCAAGCTTGGGTCTTCAGTTAACACGTGTATATGCAGGGGTAATATGGTAAATATATCTTACTTTTTTGCTTTACTTTTTTGTTTTTGTTTTTGTTTTTTTAATCTTTGGGTTTACGTTTAGTTGCTGGCAATTCCTGGATTTGTAGTAAAAATAAAATCATAAAAATTAAAAATTAAAAAAAATAAAATTAAAATAAAAACTCTCTAATAGAACAATTATTCTTTCATGTTACGTATTAATTAATGATCTAAAAAATTTAACGATTAATTTTGCATGCAGAAATATAACAAATTTGTATAAAGATTAAATTTTGCATAAAACCTATACCATTTATTGATACTATCGTCGGAAATATAGAAAGGAGAATATGGATTGATTAACTAACATGCACCCGAATCTTATTTTCTCTTTAATTTCTCCCTATTGCCACCGACTTGTTATTGTTAAATTTGTTCTTACTAAACTATCCCTAAACCGATACAAGTCCATTATCAATCTATCAGATTTGGAGTTTCATGTTTTCTTAACATTTTTGTTTTGGTTTTGAACCTTTTTCGCCAAATACTTCAGTAATAATATCTAAGTTTGAAATTGAGATTCGCAATAATTTTTTACGTTAAAGTTGAGCGCATTGAGTAAGGTACAATATAAGTATGACTAGAGACTAGCCAAAGTAACACGTTTGACATTCATTGGAAGATACTGAGTTTGTCAGAGTGTTAGATAAGTAAATTGTGACTTATTATTCCATGTTTGACGTCTCTTATGCTTATTTTTCAACTGAAAGCACCATGTATCTACATGTATATTCAAGATCTAACCAATAAAGTATCTATAAGACGATGCTTTATTCATCTAATACGCCAATACTCTCCTAAACAATCATACAGAGGGGAAATTGGTAAAAGTGTCCACTTGTTTCTGTTTGATTGAATTCTGGTGCCCCTTGGAAATGAATGACTTGATTGTGTCTGCATGTCATTTCATTTGGCCTTTTATACAATCCAGTCAAGATTTAATATACATAAAGGGATTTAACAAATAGCATGACAATGTTGAAACTGAAAAAGAACGGTATGCATAGATACAGTTTATGCAGATCCTATGCTTCAAGTTTTCTTCGTATACTCGCGCTGCATTACTGATGCATATAGTTCTGAAAAATGGACGTTGGATCTTATAGTGCCACAGTTGGGCGGGAGGAACTGTACGTATGTCCTTGCCTCTGTTGTGCAATTTTTGTTTCCCACCCCTCCAATAAGGGTATCTCCAACTGAAGGTTGATCAGAAGACTCGTTTTAGCCCTTTGGTCATTCAAGAAATTAATATTTTAATGAACGTGCATGGCCAAATTTCTTACTATCTCCAACCGAGGGCCATGTCACAAAAAACCGTCTCCAACTGAGGACCAAAGGGCTATAGTATGAAATGTGAAAAATTGAAATAAAATGAGGTAAGATAGTATAGATAAGTGAAAAATATGTGAGAAATGGTGTAGGAAAAAAATTAGAAAAAAAAAAAAAAAGTGGGCTGGGCATAAAAAGCAAAAAATGGGCTGGAACAAAAAAAAATAAAACCTAAACCCTAAACCCTAAAGTGGGGCAAATGGAAAAGAACAAAAAAAATAAAAAAAATAAAAAAATAGGGCTAGGCAACGGGCTGGCTAAAGATGACCAGCCGATTGACTCTTTGCCCTTTTTTGTCTAGTGGGGTCCACAAGCCCTTGGGCCTGACCTTCGGTTGAAGACAATTTTCGGGCTATTTTCGGCCATCTGGACCTTTCGGTTGGAGATGGCCTAATTGGCTTGTTTGTTTGCTTGATTTAAAAAGTCCTCTTATGCTTCATGTCCTGAATCCTGATTGAGTTTAATCACATTAGGTTTCTCCCCATCAACTTGTTCTGGTGTTGTCACAAAAGTTTTAAAGTGAAAGTTTCCGCTCTCATATCAAACGAACCAACCGGGAAATACACAAGGAGATTTTCCTGCGATGCTTGAAGTTGAAACAGCATCTGCTGTCCATCCTGGTGGTAGTGGTGGCGCTGTCGTTAATTCAGAGGGTCATATGATCGGACTTGTTACAAGGTATGAAGAACTAAATTGTTGTATGCTGGTTGTCTTTAATTATTTTGCTCTGTGTACGGCATGTTTTATAAGAATCATATCCAAAGCAGTGTAGTTGGTTAACTAAATCAACATGACAGATTTGCACTTTCAATGGTATGTGTCTTGATCAGAAGACGCTGAAGTTTGTTATTTCTACCAACGTGTTGCGTATCTACGTTGTTATTGAAGCTGCTTTCAGTGTCATCATCGTCCATTCAGATCTTAGACGTGTTCATTTGATTTATATAAGCCTGTTTAATGAGATATATTCTTGAAACAGTAATGCAAGGCATGGTGGAGGAACAGTTATACCGCATCTGAACTTCAGCATTCCATGTGCTGCTCTTCTGCCCATCTTCAAGTTCTCAAAATGTTATTTAGTCAACTTCTTATTTCGCACGTACTGGTCGTTTAAATTCATTTTCTGTGCTTGAATTTTTGTTTTATTGTTGGTGGCATACCGTATAAGATGTGTGGTGGAACTTGGTTCTTTTTTAGCAGCCGAAGGTAAGCAATCCTGAGAGATCTGACTACTGCAGTTTTTGTTGCACAGACATGCAGGATCTTTCACTTCTCCAAGTTCTTGACCAACCAAGCCGTTGTCTTTCTTCTGTATGGGCGTTGATGCCACCTCTGTCTCCCAAACCCCCTCCTTTGCCGCCTCATATTCCACCCTCTTTACTACAAGATAACAACAAAGAATCAAAAGGCTCTCGTTTGAAAGATTTGTCGCCGAAAGAAAATATGTGTTTGAAAAGCCATCCCAACTTGGCAAGGCAAGAAAACTTCCTAACAATGTTGTTCATAGCAAGTTATGACGTGCCAGCATCCTGCAGATATCTACTGTAGTACATCATATATGCAGCATGAATTTGATGCAACTTGCAGTAAAAACCGTATGATTTTAATTCTACCCTATTTTGCGTTCAATATTGTGGGAATGACTTCGGCGCATGGTATGTGAATGCTCTTAAACCAATTCATCAACGATCCTGTGCAATCCGTATGATAACTTTCTTAATCGTCTTCTTGTTCCACCTTTCCGCTATTCTTTTGCGGCCTTTTTTATACAAAAATATATTTACAGTAAGGAGTAAGAGAGTGAAATAAAGTACCAACAATGCTTTAGGATCTGTTTGGTATCCTATTCGAAAATTTTATCATTTCTTAAAATATTTCTTGAGAACATTTCTTGAAATCAATTTTTTTTAAGATTCAAAAAGATGATTGGTTTGCGATTTAAAAATTTTAAACCTTACGACTTAAACTAGACAAAGAGATCTAAAAAGAAGGGATCGCAAGAGAGGGAGAAAGAAGAGAGAGAGGAGGAAATAAAGTAAGAGATGATTGAAGGAAAGAGAAAGAAATGAGAGGATCGGACGAGATAAAGAGAAAGAAGAGTGAGAGAAAGAACCAAAAGAATGAAGATAACGAATTGGATGAGAGACGAAAAAGGTAAAAAAAAGAGGAAAGAGAAAGAAGAAAAGAGTGAGAGATAGATTTGGAGTGGGAGGGGAGAAAGGAGAGAAAATAAATGAGTGAATTTAAGTTTAAAAACTCTAAAAACTTACTTTTTATGTTTTTAGAGAATATACTATTTTTTTTAGTTAGTCTTAAGTTCAGTTTTTGAAAATAGTCCTACCAAACAAGTTTTTAAAATCTAAAACTTGAAAATTGTTTTTGAGTTTAAAATGTTGAATTTAAGTAAAGTACCAAACATACCCTTAGTTTCTTGTGAAAAATGCATCCTTGTCAGTTGAAAAGTATGCTATTGGAGCCAGAATTTTTCTTGTTAAGTGAGTCTCACGCTATTGGAGCCTTATGATTGGGCTAATATGGCCTTGTAAAGGAGAAATTTTTTAGTATGCTGAAAACATAATTCGGTACTAAGTGTTATATAATTAGTTGAAAACTATAAAAAAAAAAAAAAAAATTCTACCCAAACTACTACTCCGTTAGTAGTCTAATCTTTTATTTGTCTCACTAACCTGGCCCAGAAAAAGAAAAAACGCCTATCATCCCATTTGCTCTTGGGTATTCCAATACCCTTTCATGATGTCGCGTTTGAATCCTTGAGAATGAATGCATGATATTTAATGTATTGAATTTTGTTCTCGACAAAAATTTCTCCTCACAAATGCTTAAACTTCAATTTGAGTAGATAAATTTTGTTGAGCTAAAAACTGTGTTTTCAGTTTTGAGGCTCGAACATGTTATCTTCAGGTCCTGTTTGGTACGTGGGACGGGACAGAATGGAGTGGGATGAGACATTCTGTTTCATGTTTGGTGCGCCTAAAACAGATGGAAAGCGACGTTTCACATGACGAATTTTAGGTGAATTTTTGTTCTACCTTACCCCTGGAATGATTCGTTCCACATCTGTGGAACACAAAATTATAACATCTCCGTCTCCTTCTTCTTCCTCCTTGTTTCCATCCAAGGACATTTTTTATCCCTCTCCATTCCCTCCCGTCCCGTCCCGTCTCATTCCGTTTTATCCCATCCCGTTTGCATACCAATCGATACGTCGGACAGTGGGTCTTGTGTCACATCGCACTTACCAAAACCAATCGCACAATATTTGCGATTTTCCCAAAACAGCCCAATAAAATTTTGTATGCGGCGGTCCTGACCCAGAGACTCGCCTCTCGTCTCTCGCGCCGCCGCCTCTCTGGTCTTAGCTATTTCAACAATCCCAGAAATAACACAAGCCAATTCGCACAGAGAGAAAGAGAGAGAAATGGCGGACAGCTCCGGTTACAAGGAGTACGTTGCGGGCTTGATCGCCGGCGTGGCCACCGTTGGAATCGGCCATCCCTTTGACACCGTCAAGGTAAAATCACATCTCTTTGATTTTGTCAACTTTCAGTGGGTTTAATGCTGGTGAGGTTTACTTTAATGGGTGTTGCTTGAAAATTTGATAGAATTTGGAAGTAAAATGTGTTAAACAATGCCAAAGTTTAGTTTTTGGAATCTGGGTAGTTTAAATTTTGATCGGAAAATGTTTGGATTAGTATCATATTAGTGGAAAGAATCAAAATTTAGATGATATACTAAACTTGGTTTTAGTAGCAACTTACAGAGCTTAATTTTCCTTTAGGTATACATTGTTGCCCTGTTTTCTTATTAGCTTGATATTCTGTAAATTTACCTTGGCCAAGCTGTAATCTTTCGATCCATTCGTCGTCTTGTCACATCTGTAGTTGATGATTTCAGGATATTGTTTACCTCTAAGATTATCTTTTGTGAACTGTTAAAATGTATGGACAATTTCTCTTTATGTGTCAATTGTGCTTCCCGTTAAGGTTGTCTCTGAATGTTGAATTAGGTTAAGATGCAAAAACACAACACTTCAGCACACGGGATTACGTACAGGAATAGTTTGCATTGCACTGCAAGGATACTAAGGACTGAAGGCGTATGATTCTGAACTTTATCTAGCTGAATATCTCTAATGTAACGATCTAGAACCATTTTTCTTTCGGAAAGGGTGCCAATGTTATAGAATTTGAGTTTCCGCATCATCTTTTCCAGGAGAGCTGACTGATATTGGGTCCTTAACAGATTAAAGGACTTTACAGAGGGGCGACATCATCTTTTGTGGGGATGGCTTTTGAGAGTTCAGTTGTTTTCGGCATGTATTCCCAGATCAAACAGTCACTGCAGGTTTCAACGAAAATAAAGTGGACAATCTTTGTTTATTTTATTTTGTAATGATCTGGATAATGGCTTCTGTTAGATGCATAATAGCGAACCGGTTTAGTGACTTTATTGATACGACTTCTATAAAGATATTGTATATCTGTTATGGTTCTTATGTGACGTTCTTCTGAATTGCAATGACACTTGAAGGGAAGTGCCCAAGGTGCAGGTCCACAGCCGAAGGTCATAATTCCATCTGCAGCTTTTAGTGGATCAGTCATCAGTTTTATATTATGCCCCTCGGAGCTGGTGAAGGTATGAGGAATTGGATGGTTTTTAGATTGTTCCGTTGCTTCTCACGGTATACTTATTGCACTGCTTTTTTCCAGTGTAGGATGCAAATTCAAGGCACAGACTCTGTGGTCCCAATGTCTAGAAGATATGGCAATCCTCTTGATTGTGTCCTTACAACTGTGAAAAATGATGGGGTAAGAAAATACTGTTATTTCTGGCGACAATGGCAAGCATAACTTTTTATGATCATTTTAGGTGATTGAATGCTTTTCAGGTTAGAGGAATATTTCGAGGAGGTTTTACGACATTGTTAAGAGAATGTATTGGAAATGCGGTCTTCTTCAGCATTTATGAGTATGTCCGCTATCACATGCATTTACAATTGAAATCTGCTTCAACTGACCACAGAAACTTGATTGACGTGGGAGTTGGGATTGCTAGTGGTGGCCTTGGTGGTATAGCAGTATGCATCTTCACAATTTAACGTTCTCTAGTACACAAGCTCACATTCTTATTCCACTAGACTTATAAATTCTGATGTTCTCACCCTATGTCCAGTTTTGGTTGGCTGTTCTACCCTTGGACGTGGCAAAAACCATAATTCAGACGACTCCAGATAAGAACGCAACAAGAAATCCATTTCAAATCTTGAGCTTGGTAAGGACACCCCTTTCTCTCTCTCTCTCTCTCTCTCTCTCTCTCCTCTCTCTCTCTCTCTCTCTCTCTCTCCCAATCCCCCGGAAAATGTTTAAATTGGCCTTTGTTCTTTTTTCCTCTGTAGATTTACAGAAGGGCTGGATTGAAAGGATGCTATATTGGCTTGGGTCCTACTATTGTTCGGGCTTTTCCTGCTAATGCAGCAGCAATCGTCACCTGGGAGTTGGCCATAAAACTATTAGGCATCAAGCGCGACTAAGCATTTCTCTACAATAACCAAATGCTTCCAACCTGTTTGGCAACTTTTAAACCGCATTCAGCAAGAGAAAATTCTTTCACTCAGATGAACTCCAAGGGTGTTACTATGCATTGTTTTCTCGATTTAAGGAGCTCGAACATTTTTTCTACAAGAAAATATCAGAGATTGGAGTGGTTTGTTGTGAGATTTTTTTTGTAATGATTGTTGAAAAGTTTGTATCAAGGATTTCACATGTTTTATTGTAATTTCTGTCAGCTGAAATAGAAGTTTTTCTAACAAAGCAGCCAAGAAGTTTTCGTTGGTGTTTTTCTGTTCTTGATATTACAATTTTTTGAAAGATTAGAGAGAAAGGTCTGGACATGGCTAATTCATATGGTAAATTTGATAGCCCTCCCCGTCCCGTCACACCCGAAATGTGATGATGTATATATATATGCTGTAATATGAGTGAATGTGTTCATATTTGTGGCTATATTGGTATCAACAAGTAAAATACATGCTAAACATAATTAGATTGGTAATATTAACGAACACTGTGACGGTTCATTTCACGTACATGTTATTCATAACATAATAATAAGAAAGATCTTAGGACAAAATACCATGATAATGTATGATAAAAGTTAGTGACAAATTAAAGCATGTGAAGAAAACAAGAATTATCGTTACCAACTGAACAGATCAAGTGGTAGGGTTGTTTCAAATCACAGCCAAGAATCATGAAGCACAATTTCAAGGTTCAAAATTGTGCTAGCAAAGAAGCCAATATTCCTTAATTAATGCATACCGGGGGGCCCGGGGGGTGGGGTGTGGGAGTTTCAGTGGTGCATACGTATAATGAAGGCCGAGGGTTGACAGAAGATAGGGAGCTTATCGTATGCTTAGTAGAAACTAATAAGGGCTCGTTTGAATGTGTTTTTAAAATGGTTAAAAGTAAGTCAATCTTCCTTAATTAATGCACACTGGGGGGGGGGAAGGCCGAGGGTTGACAGAAGATAGGGAGCTTATCGTATGCTAGATGGAAACTAATAAGAGCTCGTTTGGATGTGTTTTTAAAATGGTTAAAAGTACTTTTAAAGAAAATATTTTTTGGTTCTAAAAGCACTTAAAATGTTTTCTGCAATAAGCACTAATTATGTACTTCTTCCAGGAAGCACTTTAAGTGCTTTTCAGAATTTACTTGCATTTTTACTAAGGATTAGTTCTAAAAACATTTTCAACAAAAGCGCTTTCAGTTATTTAAAAAACACATCCAAACAAGTACTAAATTAATTAGAAATGCCGCCTCCATGTCCATGTTATTGTAGGGAGGTCTTCCGACGCCGCTCATTGTGTCCAGCTAATCGCCGGCGACAACTCCTTTTACGGTCATCAAACTCCGATAGGCTGTGAAACCTGTCAATGCACCACCATTCATTCATTATTCGACTCATGACTCTAGTGTCTTTCCTACCATGCACTTGAATGCACTTTTTTAAATGCACAGTCAAGTTTATTAGGGACATATTGACAACTCTAAATAAACTATAGAGTTAAAGAATCAACAAAATCAACGACAATTCGCATTTTTCTTAAAAAGGGCAGTTAATCATTCTTTAGAAAAATTTGTATGTGTGTATCTACAATTTATGTTGATGTAGAACAAAAGGCCGAAATGATTGAAGAGGAAATGGACCGTCGGAAGGCAAAAGGATGCAATGAGAATTTGCAACTTTGGCGTTCGAGTTCCAATTTAGGCCTATGATACATTTTCAAAAAGGGAACGATGCCATGGTTCAAACATACAATGGATTTTGGCCATCCGAGATTGTTTCAGCCTCCAAAACGTAGTTTTAATTTATGTTATAAAGATCGAACATTTGGGTTGTCGTCCGATTAATGTTGAATTATTGTCATTTTAATGTCGAGAGTCCTTTGAGTTGTTTTAGGGGTTGTAACCCGTTTATTTAAGCCTTTTGACTGTTTCAATGTGATTATCAATTATCAATTAAAGTCTAAACACAACTACTTTTCGACTTTCTCTCAAACTCTGATGGACTCCAAAATTCTTGTTTTTTGAGGGTTTACGGCTGTATCTCTCCTGCTTCGTGCTGCGTCATATATATATATAATTTCTAAGTGCATGAAATTAACAAAAATTATGTGTCTACATGAATAGTAATTAGGCAACAATTAAGAAAACCGTTTAGCTAGGCATACTCACTAATATGGAATTCTCTCCATAAGATATGGCATGAAACTGTAGGTGTGGGGTTCTTGCAAGTTTAATTCATACTATAAACTTAAACTACCTGGGAACCTTTTCTTTTGAAAAAACTTTAAGGGAAAAGGTAAACCCTGCATTTCCCAGCAAAAGAGCTCTCTGAAAGAGGGCACTTTATTTATTTATTTTCTTGATCATTATCACATGAGAGAAGAACTCCATAGATAAAAATGTTTGAAGGTTGTCTAAATGTTTAATGGAAGAGTTATTATTTGCAAAACTGTGGTAGTTGAAAAAACGGTTCTAAAATTGTTACCTGCTACACTGCTGGCAAAAGCGCTGCCGGATTCCACCCATGAACACCGCCGGAGCCTTGGCATGAACGTCACAGACCTTGTGGCGGCGGTAGTATTGCTTTAAATCACTCAAGTCAGCATTGCAACAATCTACCTTACAACATGGCCCTGCTGTAGACCCTCCTGCACCAGATCTTCTCCCTGTAGGAGGAGGAGCAGTACTATTCATCATCATCACTGTATCTCTCCTCTCATCCTCACCATCCACTATAGATGGTGTCCCACTCCTACTTTCTTCTTCTTCCTCCTCCTCCTCTTCCTCTTCCTCGTATTTCACCAAGATCCTCTTTCCATGACCTCTGCCTGATTCCATATTTTTCCGACGAAAGGAGAAGCAAAGAAATGAGAGGAGAAGGAAGATGTTAAATTCAAAGGAGAAGCAGGCTAAAATGAAAACATTGATCAAACAGCAAAGGTGTAGAAAAAGGAAGAGAAGCGTGTGTGTGTGAGAGAGAGAGGACCACAAGTTCCATTTGTTACTTTGTGAGCACAAAGTATAATAGTGAATGGTACCTCCAAACCCTAGAAATATTTACTCCAATAACACATCATCTACATATGATTTTTACACTACAACAACATAACACAGTTCAAACTCATCTTCACTAATTAATATCTAACCTCAATTTTAGACTTAATTAGTGCTCGTTTAGAGGCACTTTTCTATAAAACCATTTGGATGAAGGAACACTTTTTATGTGTTTCTCCTCCTAAATGATGTTGGGCGCCCTCTCAAAATTACTTCTAGACGAACCTTTATTAATCACTACTTATATTAGGTACAGCCACGAATTTAGTGACTAAATTTGGGTTCGGCTAAACCAGCTAGGGGTCAGCTACAGCTAGGTTATTTCGAAGGACACTTTTTTGTAATTTGAGATGGCCTGGAGGACACTGAAACGCGTTAATGCATGTGTGATTATTACGCCATATAATTTTTATATAGAGCACAGAGCTTATGTCTAATCCAATCATGGATCAACCTAATCAACAACTCAATTTTTGTAAAAATGAATTTGATTTGTACATCTGTCTATTCGTTACAAGTTTATGTTAGAACGAGTCTCACATAGGTAGAATAAATGACTTTACATGAGTTTATAAGTAAGTTGGATTACTTTTCATGTTGCCAATTGACTTTATAGTAGAACCTCAATTTTCTTCACGGTTTCAGAGCAGGTTGTCCCACGTGTGAAGTCAAACGGCCACATGTGCTCCATGTCACCCCATTGTGTTGTTTACGTATTGGGCTTGAAAATTCGACACATGTGAGGGGGCTTGTTAAGAATGAGTCGCACATTGATGGAATATGGATCTTGCGTGGGCTTATAAGTAAATTGAGTTACTCTCAAACTGATTTTATGATGAAACCTCAATTTTATTCAACCTAAAACCCTATAAAAATTAAAGATATGTTATAATTCATAGGGTTAGGTTTAACTATATGAATATATACATATATAGATATTGCCAGTCCTTTTCATAGAGAGTGTGACGACTCCTTCATTCACAATGTATTATAATTATTGGAAAGTGAAGGGTGAAAGGCGAAAAAAAAACCCTAAATGGTCCAATGAGGTAGCAACAGTGATTATCATGCTTTGACACATATGGTACTATATATTGTCACTTATAAATAGGGGTTGGTCCCCATTTGTACGATCCAACCCATGAGCAAGTTCATGTGCAACATAGAGCACCCGTGGGTTTCAAATCGAATCCCTTAGATTTGGATTAATTAGTGTAACATATTCAAATGTACTATGACGAGAATGGCATATTCTAATTGATTGGGTTAGACATCACAATGGGCGAGCTGCAAACTAGGTATCAAATGTAACACACAAATATGTGTGAGTCAAACATGAGACCTCTTACTTACCGGTGAAGATGAATACCAATAAATTATAGTACTAGCTAGTTGGTAGTTTTTTATTATGAACATTAAACAAACAAATAGAAGATGAGCCTTGCACCAACAAACTATGATCCCTTATTTTAATTGCCAAATGAGGCAACGCATAACTTAACAGTTGCTTATCGATTAAGAAAATTTGGTTCAATTGAGTTCAAATACAAGATGGGTATAGCGTGTGAAATAAAATTTTATTTTTTTTGTCAAACGATAGATTTTATTAGATTAGATGTTAGATTAGCCACCAACGAAGTTTGAACCCACATCATCATGTAAGGATTCCACATCTTTTCACCACTGTGATAAAGGGGCACTTACCGTGTGAAATAAAATTAGTGAACTTAATAAATGTAGACCTAAATAATTGAGTTTGATAGAGAATTTAGTGGTGGAGGAAAAGCCCTTAGAAGAAAGGGGACGGACAAACTCACAGCATGAATGCACCATGATTCACACATCCCATCACAGCTTTTTTCCCTGAATTTTATTTTTTCTTGTTTTTGGACTCGTCTATAGCATAGCATGGCATGAGAAACTGAGAATGACTTCTCTGTCTGTGGCTCTCGGTACATCGTGTGACATTTCGAACAAACAATACAATCTTGTGCATTTTTGCATTAACACATGATATTGCATTGTTAATGTCAATGACATGATGTTGTATTGGAATACATGTAAGTTTCTCTCCAAAGTTTAGATCCGGCATTTATGACGGCCAAATTCAACCCTAATTTGGACACAACTAGCCCACTAGGCCCAAGAAGCTTAACTTAATTACAATCTTGGATCTAGATCCTTGACCCATTTTTGTTTGGGCTGCAATTTTAGCCCATTTTTGTTTGGTTTACAATCTTACATGTAGTCCAACCAAATGGTGGCCGAAGTCATTGAGCCCTTCTTACTAGGCAAAAGTTGCTCGACATTGAAGCCAGTAGTTATTGAGCCCTTAATATACTGGGAAATATTTGTTTAACAATGGGCCCAAATTATCATATATTTTCATGCATAGTACAAGTGCATGCGAGATGTTGCGGGTGTTTAAAATGTTTTTAATATATATACATACAGAAGAGGTTATAGAAGCTGGATTTATATACATAAGTTCAGAGTTATCAACAAGATTGGCAATAGTAAATCAGTTCATTTTGAGTTTTAATTTAGATTGAATTTGCATCTACTTAGAGGTCGAGGACCACACAATGTGGACTACACTAGTAGAGTAACCACTAATTACAAGGCTTGATTATTGGCTTTTTCTTTGAGTGATTGGGGGTTAAGTAATGATAATATTGTTTGACTTGACCATATACAAAAATGATCATATAGCTTAATAGTAATACTATAACTACCAACACATACAAATATATTATATAAGTAATGATAATATTGTGTTCTTAACCAACTCAGCTATAAACTTCTTTCTAAGAAAGAGTTTGCAGTAAATAGTTGTTTAGTTGTCATATTAATCATTTTAGCTTTTTCTTTTAGCTAATTTTTTTTTTTAGTACAAACAATATTCTACACTTACATGAGTGTTTGAATTCGAAATAGAGTGAGTTGGAGAGGCAAACCTTAAATTACCACTTACCCATAACTTCTGGTTTTATTATTCAATTTACTTAATGTTAAAAAAAAATTATAGCATTTCATACCGAACAAAGGATGATTCTCTTAATATTTGACGGAAATATATACCCGACCAAATGTCCAACCTTTTCATGTCACGAAGGTTGAAGAGAGGGTTTAATCACACCTAATGCCAATGTTTGGCATAATTACCTCTCTCTCATCATAATTACTTCTTATCACCATGCAATGCATATCCACTAATCACATTCCACAACATATTAGTTAAATATGATAAATGCCAATTAATCAGGAGAAAATGAGGGAAGGTTTGGGGTGAGACACCTTGAAGTGGAATAGTACCACCCTCACTCTCATAATCACCTGTCACAAATCATTTGCCCATTCCGAACAAAGTCAAGCCACATACATGTGGTTGTGGGGAGTTGGCCATGAAAATGAACCATGTGCATAATGTAATAATCGTCGATGCAAATTTCCGCCGTTTTCAGTCTTGATGAAAATGCACCTGCAAAACAATCAACACATTTGATCAAAGACCTAAGCCTCACGCGCCCACGAGGTGGGGGGGTAGGTCAACGGATCTCCGGTGCCTAAATTAGTTTATCTGAGAGAGTAAAGTGTTTAGGGTTTTTTTAGGGGTGCAAAAATCTCTCCAAAATTGGTAGAATATGGTGTATTTATAGAGCTAGGGCTTGCCATATGGGTTTAATGGAGAAATATTCTCTAATTATTCTCAAGATATTAAATAGGAAATAATATCTTGAGATAATAGGGTAATTATCCTAATTGAATTAAATTATGATTACTTACTTGATTGGAGTCAATCTTCACATGAGAATGTATTAAAGGTAGGGTAATAAATCCTTGTATTTTATTCCTTGCCAATGGCAGGTGAGTTGTAGGCAATTGTGTTCAGCTGCTGAGTCATCCAAGGATGTGAGATGCGCGAGGGAGCATCTAAGAAACATGCTCATTTATTGAGGGCAATCTTGTCTTTTTTGAATAAAAGTCCACGTATCGCCTCTAGAATTTTTGGGATTATTTTTTGCTCCACAATAATGATGGTGAAAGGTAGGTTAAATAACCCATAGACTTTCAATCTAGCCGTATTTCTCTTTTTAATTTTGTAAAAGATTTCAAGTTCGAACAACATATATGTTCCATTAATATATATGATTAACCAGCACTAAGGTCCAATTGACGAAGAGGTTTATATTATTACAGTTAATAAGATTAACCTAAAAATAAATGTTTTTCATTTGTTAATGGACAAAAGAATTCAAGATCGACCAACGTAATCATATCAATGTAAGATTACCAAACCATACATATAATTATGAAGGCATGATAATTTATGATTTACAAATCCCTCGATGATCATTAATTATTGTGCATGCTCCTCTCTCTCTCTCTCTCTCTCTCTCTCTCTCTCTCTCTCTCTCTCTATATGTATATATATAAAAGATGAAGAGCATGATCTGTTGACAGCTTGTTACATAGAATGAGTGATTGACGGTTCTCACTACCATTATGCTCTTAATTAACAATTTTTTATCCAACATTAATACTAAAGTATAATCATCAACTAAATTATATTTCTCTACATATGCATCCGGATTCATGTTCGATCACCATCAATTCTCCTTCCTCATAACATTTAACAATTTAACCAAATCTCCCTCCCTCATAATATTTAACAATTTAACCAACTAATACTATTCTTTGTAATAATAATATAAAAAAAAAACTAAATTACATTTTCACAAAGTGGAAGAAACCTCCATCAACATCGCTGCCCTAATCCATGTCTATTAATACATCGTTGGATTTGATCAGTCTACCAATATACGTGAAACAAGTGGACTCTCTCTCTCTCTCTCATGAATAGATTAGCAATTAAATCAAATAGTGTCAGGGCACACCCAATTTGATTATTGTCCTTATTAATCCCCAACATTCTGAAGGCCCCACGGGACCGGCGGCACTTGAAACTTCTAGATATATAGCAATTAGTCCTTCCAGCCC